GCGCATAAATTGTTCTCCGACCTACCACAACTCGCAAAAAAGGTTCTCGTCTAAAGGACAAATGTTTAGGACGAAAAACAATCCATAATTCATGGTTAAGAACGGCAATATTACTGAATAATACATTATCCGTATATCAACGATGTCCTGTTTATATCGTTTCGTCAATTCCCTTGTTATTTTTAGCGATTTATGTTAAAATTATACGAAGTCGTTTGTTATTGAAGGCGATTTGGTGACAGCGCCATCTGTTGATGCTAGTTGGTAATTTTATTTTTATTTAGTTCTGCTATTCGATAGTAGATGGCGTTGGCTTTCGAATTCTATTTTAATATTTTTCAGTATATAATTTTAGTATTCAAAGAATAAAAATAATATTTGTAATAAGATTTATTTATCATTTTTATATTATGTGTTAATGAACCAAGTTATTGTAAGACTCGTTATTTAGTTTAATTTTTAGCGCCTCAAAATCTGATGTTAGCAATCAAACATAGAAATACTTTTTTAATAATAACTTTCTACAAAGTAATTTAATAAATTATTTTATTAGGATTTAATAGGTATAAATAGCTATTTAGGACGCCCGCTTTTCATCAATGAGGGTTCTAATCTCACAAGGAGAAGGTTTGAGCATTGATCTTATTCTTAATGCGAGTTGGCCATTTCAAACTTATAATCAGAGATTATAAGCCCAGGTTTCCTCACGATGTTTTCTTTCACCGTTTGTCAATGGTGTCTAAATAATCTTAGAAAGTACATAGGTAATAACTGGGCAAGTCACATTGGTACTTGCTGTCGTTAGGTTTCTAAGCCGTAAGGCTGATTTTAGTCTGACGCAGCGCTGATGACTGAAATATATGAACTTTTAGAAAGCGTTTTTGACTGACGCGTAGCTATCAGCGCGCACGGTTCCTGGAAGTTAAAACATCTCGGCTGTCAGCGCCGACGGTCAGCGTGACTCTAAAATCAGCCTATGCATGAAAAGTGAACGTCTTATATCTCCGAGCTAATATGACGCTGTTACATAATAACACAACCAGCTCAATAATAATAAAACTCTGTAACCCAGCATCCTGTCCATCGATTCATCTGAAAGACAATAAGACGGCATAATATCCCGCAGCCATTTGCAATTCATAGCTCAGCTCCCACGTCAACCATTACCATATTGTAAGGTCGCCCATGTATTATGTATACGCACCTTTACTTTATTTTGTGATCGCATTAGAAATTGTTTTGAATTCAATCCTTTTTTTATGGAAGACTGGCAGACGAGCAGACGGGTCTCCTGGTGGTAATCGACCCTGCAGATGGTCACCTAACACTTAACGCGGCGCGGTGGCGCGTCACGTTCCGCGCGCGCCTCATATAGTCATCCGACTACCACAGATTGGGCCTAGTACAGCTGATGCCCTATATAGAGCCGCGGAAGACTTAACGGGTTGCCGGGGCTCTGGCTCGAAGAGCAGGAATAGGAACGAGGTGGTTTTTAGTTAGTAAAAGTCTGACACTCCTTCTCACCTTACTCAAGGTGGGAAAAATCATTGAACGGTTTGCCCCCTCAGAAATGGTTTTGTGTACCTATGTATATCTAAGTATTTGAGTAGGTGATGAAAAGACTTTTCTTATTCACTGAGGCCTATATATGTACCTATCTACAACAGTGAACAAAAAATGTTTGCAGACGATGAATGCAAATTGTTTTTATCAATACATAGTATAAAACAAAGTCGCTTTCGCTGTATGTCCGTATGTATGCTTAGATCTTTAAAACTACGCGACGGATTTTGATGCGGTTTTTTTTAATAGATAGAGTGATTCTTAAGGAAGGTTTGTATGTATAATACATGCATATTGCACCCGTGCGAAGCCGGGGCGGGTCGCTAGTTAGCAAAATATAATTCTTATCTGTAATGAATGAATGAATGAATGAAATGAATTGTTGTCTGTATTTATGTGTGTGTTATGTATGAAGTGTAATGACGGGCCATGTCATGCGATAGATGTCCTTCATGTCTATGTGTGTGTATTCTGCGTGTAAGTCTATAGTAGTTAGATGCCACGTTGTTTCAAGAGATTAATTCCATATTTCAATCCCATACTCTGTCTTAATGCTTGTAATTCTTCAATAATTTATCATTCATGACTAATTGGTGGCTTGTTTGTCCGCGAGTCACTTAAGGGGCCAGTAGAATACCAGCGCAAGGCCCTGTCTTGCACGTGCAGAACTGGTCCCATTTCGCGGCAGACTTGGGACATGAACATGTATCCTCATGTATCATTACCTACTAATACAATGATGTTTATGTGCATGTCACTTGTTTTTTGGCGTGAAATAAAGTTCTTTTTCTTTGTTTTCTTTATTAATATTATATTATTAATCTTTATTAATATTATTTATAGTATGAGGACTGTTTGACCAACTGCTGGACCAGTCAAAACTATTGCAACGATGACGTTATTGCGCTGAAATTTTACTTGAAGCCGGGTCCCGTTGCATAAATTCGGTGGTTTGAGATTTCTTAGTAAAATTATTGGGGCACCTATTTTTCACTTAAGAGAATGTGGGGGAAGGCCGCTTGGGTTCAAGGAATTGAGGAACTCCTGTGGATAGTGAACTACATCTTCTTGATCCATGACGGTATCAATGGATGTGTAGGTTACAATACCTATCTCCTGGGAGTTTACTCAAAATGATGTCATTTATTTCGTCAACGCAACTATTTCTTGCCGCCAATATTGCTCTTTGACACATCCATTGATGGTCCTTATTTTCTATTTGGCTGATGTCAGGGTATACCTTAGTTACTAATTCCTCGATGTTACCCACTTTTACTCCTAAATCGCAATCAATATCAATTGTATTATTAGAATGAGGTATTTTCCCGTCTCCTACAGAAAGTAATTTTGAAGGGAAAGTTATACTACCTCCCCCCAAGTGTGCTCTCATTAAAAGATAGACATACTACTTTCGCGGACTTTTTAGATCATTAAAAAAGCTATTATTCTTTAACTAACGACCCGCCCCGGCTTCGCACGGGTGCAATATGCATGTATTATACATACAAACCTTCCTTAAGAATCACTCTATCTATTAAAAAAAACCGCATCAAAATCCGTTGCGTAGTTTTAAAGATCTAAGCATACATACGGACATACAGCGAAAGCGACTTTGTTTTATACTATGTATTGATACATATTTTTGTGTATCTTGAACCGTTTTCACAGCGCACGCAACGGAAAGCTTCAAAAATGAAATAATTTCCCCCGTTTTTTACACATTTACCACTATATCTTTGCTCCTATTGGTCGTAGCGTGATGTTATATAGCCTATAACCTTTTTCAATAACTGGACTATCCAACACAAAAATAATTATTCAATTCGAACCAGTAGTTTCGGAGATTAGCGCGTTCAAACAAACAAACAAACTCTTCAGCTTTATAATATTAGTATAGATGTGCTCTGATTATCTCGTGATTGACTGACTTGCCTCATTGGCCGATTGGTCGTAAGGTCGTAAGTACTGCCGGGCAAGAGGTCTTGGGTTAGATTCCCGGGTCGGGCAAAGTATCACTGGGTTTATATACCTATGTACTGTATAATGTAACACCCACTTTTCACTATTTAAGTTATGAATGCCATGTAATAGGGGGTGAGCCTATTGCTATATAGCACATTTTCAGACTCCGTGCTACTTCTGAGATTTACTTTGCTCGACCCGGGAATCGAACCCGAGAACCCTTGCACAGTCGCACTTGCTACCACTCGGCCAATGAGGCAGGCGAGGCTATTTTGTAACCGCTAATTCTTACTTTAGAAGTGAAATGATCGTATTCTCACCCGTCATTGCTCGAGATTATTCTCACAAACAATTTTTTAAATTCAATTTTTTTTAAACTTTGCCCCACACTAGGATTACCTCCTGTGTCGTGGGTGCGTTTACAAACATACAAGTTCACATACACAATGACCAAATGAAACTCTTTGTGTGATCCAGATATTGTTGTTTCGGGTCTGTGTGTCATGTGTATATGAACTTGTATGTTTGTAAACGTACCCGTACAACAAAGGAGAGAATTACATTATTGGGTACTTTACTGTGTCCACATCTTTGAATCCCTAATCAACGTTTAAAGTAGGGAATAAGTCTATAGTAATTAGAATATCTGCTACTGAAAACAAATGGTAGGTATGTACATATATTTCCTACAAAATATTTGCTTACGTTTCGTATTCCTTTAGCTACATCATAACAATTAAAAAAATGCGAAAGTTTGTGAGATTCCTAATCAAAGTTTAAATCCCACTTAGGGAATGAATCTATAGAAATTCGAAAAACTGTTACTGAAAAAAAATTGATAAATTTCGTATGTCTTTAGCTACATCTTAACAATAATTAAAATGCGAAAATTGGTGAGTTTCTGTGTATGTGTGTGTGTTTGTTTCTCGATTATGTCAAAACAGGTAAAGGGGTAGATCATTCTACCCCTGTTACAAATTTCATTCCAATCCCAGACCATAAAGTCTAGAATAACATTATTACTACTTTATTCCCACGCCAAAGCGGATGAAGCCGCGGGCACACCATAATTAAATAAATGAAACAACAAAATTCATTTGCAAAAGATTCTCTATAATTTCTTTTTCTAATTCAACTACTGATCACATTAAACTATAAGACTACAACAATATCAAGTCATTTCATTATTTTTTGTTACAAAAAGTTTTAATTTGAAAACTGTCAAATCATTCGTTCATTCATTCACAGTCATTACAAAATTATTTTTAATCTGTCGCTACATAAAAAATGGCTACAAAAATTCAAAATGGCGTCACAATATTTTGGTCAATTTTGCATCTAAAAAGCGACTATTTTGATTATTAAATACGTTACAACTCTTTGGAAATAAGCCATAATTATGTATAAATTGTTCAATACTAAAATATAATTTCGTCTTTTAGGAACTTTGTAGTAATATTTTAATTACATTTAAATAAAAAAATCTAATTCTTAATAAGAGTGTTTTACATAATTTTCCCCCGTTTAAGTCTATATTTTAATTACTATTTCTAATGATTATACCAGTTCTAGAAGTTAATACAAAATCAAACATTCATTTATCCAAATTAACCGAAGAGCGAAGTAAATTATAAATTACATAAAAGAAAAGTTTTGTCTACTCCCTACTAGATGTCGCTACGGTCAACTGTCTAACTGCGCTCTCGGTTTCATTATTTTTTAAAACAGCCAATGTTGATGAGTTTATTATATTCGTATATGTATTTAAAAGGAATTCTAAGAGATGATCAATTCACTACGTTTAATGAAAACTACAATACTACAATTCTAAACAAAAAATGTTTCAGTGATTCAAAAATTGCGTTTTCAAATGGATTGCCATTTTTTTAGCATTATTTCGTCATCAGAAACATTTTTTTTCTACTAAATACAAGCATTAGTCCACCAAGCATGATACAGTCGTTTATTTTTTATTTATACCCCAATTATTGCCATTAAAAATAAAATCCTAATTGTTATTGTAACATTATGAAAAAAATATTTTTTTAAAGGAACTAATTTTGTCATTATGGTTACAATTTTTAGATAATTACTTCATTTAAGCTAAATAGTACAAACGTAAGGATCTTGTTAATCAAACTATGTATACCTAGGTAAGTACAACTCGTAAAAAAATAATTTAAAAGAAAGAATTATCGCAAAAGATACCATTGCTACCAAAATCTACCTCTATTTTTTACGTCACTATTTTTTTTTAATAAACATTTGATTTTAACTACTAGCATTTTTAGTCAATGTATCAGCATATTTTGATTAAAAAATTCCTCACGTTTTCTTTTTCTACATAATTATTAATATTTCAAGTTTTGTTTTCATTCCAAAAGACTTAATAATAATTTAAAGGCAATGTATTGTTTCCACAATCACGCAATCGTCATTTTTGGTCTCAATTCTACGTATTTTTTAAAATTAAATTGTACTATTTGAATAATTTTGTAATTCCCACGTAATGTCAATATTAATACCGAAAAATATGTTAAAAAATAACTTATTTAAGACAAGTAAGTAATCGTATTATTTCGAAAAAATAAATTAACTTTTGAGCGAACCCTTCTTGATTCTTTTTTGTTTATTTTCTTAGAAAGAGAATCTATAGCGAAAAAGTTAATACGAAAAACAACTACGTTAAAAACCTCTTACAATCGAAAAATTGTACTGAAGAAATTAATTTTTGAAGTGGAAACGTTCCCTTCATTTCTACCTCGATTTTTTTTAGGAATTTAATAGACATAAGATTCTCAAACTAAAAAGAACCTAAAAAAGAAATCAAGCCCAAAATAATTTCAAAAACCAAATCAATATTTACGTGGTATCAAATACAAATTGTACGTATCTTTAGGTAGCGCTACACAAGCCGGTTTTTGACGCAAATCTTCAAGACTCTCAGCCCCGACTTCAAATTCCTGCATAATGTTCGCAAACATTACAAAACTCATTGTTGTAACTAGAGTCTGACCAATGCAGGTTCTCTTTCCAATACTGAATGGCAAGAAATGAGGGATGTTTCTTTTAACAGACCATACCTCTTTCTCCACGTTAGCTTCAGCTTGCTTCGAAGGTCTCTCGCCGTCCGACTCCATTCCAGAATCACATAAAGAATTCCTGCGCACTCTGACTTTAGTCTTCTCTAAGAATCTTGAAGGATCAAATTCCTCTGGCCTTTCCCAGTATTCTTCTGACGTATTCAGTTCGTAGTTGTTTATGAAGACTATTGTACCTTTTTCGACTCCATAACCAGCAACGGTTGCGTTTTCTGTAGCTACATGAGGTACGATCGGTGATGAAGCGTATCTTAGGCATTCTAGAACCGTAGCTTCTGTGTATGGTATGCTGTGTCTGTCTAGGAGAGTGACAGGTCGTTTGCCTTTAGTCAAAGCGTCTAATTCTGCTCTGATCTTCCTGCCTACTTCAGGGTCTCTGGCTACAGCTGTGAGACATAACATAACAAGGTTACCAACAGAAGAGTGACCGCCAAGGAAGTCTTCAAGCATGAATATGATGGTGTTCCTGTCGACCGTCGGGTCTTCGTGCAAAACTTTGAGGAGACCGTCCAAAAAGTCCTTTTCAGGCCCTTCGATGTCCAAATTCATCTCCCTCTGTTCGACAATCCTTGATAGAATGAAGGAACGGATGTCAGAAGACCAGTTTGAGAGTTTGTCCAAGTGCTTCTTGTAGAACGGCTTGAGCCAAGGCAGGAAATCCAAGGCGTATCCCTGGTTGATTTCCCAGAAGATTTCGTCGAAATGGTCGACGACTTTTCTAAAATCATTATCGGTTTCCGCGTCAAATCTAACGTTGCACATGTAGTGGGAGAACATGTTCATTGCTGTCGTCATTAAGATCGGTTTTAAGTTGATAGCTTCGTCGGAGTTTCTGGTTATACCTTTAAGGGTTTGAATTAGTTCGACGGACTCGAAGGTGGCGACGTCACCGATGCGGGCGTAGTTGTCAGTGTGTTGCTTGGGACCGCAGTGGCGACGAGCTAGGTTTCTTCTGCGGAGCTGCAGGTTCGACCAGTCGCACAGGGCTAGTGCTGTAACAAGGAGAAGTAGTTTTTAAGCTTTTTACTCAAAAATATGGTTAATAGAGGGCGCTGTGTACCAAATAATAAAAGGTATAACATTTATTTTTCTTACATTTTTAATACACACTACACACTAGGATTTTCGAGGATATATTACTGAACGGATTAACATAACATAACATCACGCCTTTTATCCCCGAAGGGATAGGCAGAGGTGTACATTATGACACTGTACAATGTAACACCCACTTTTCACTATTGATGTTATAAGTCGCATGTAATAGGGGGTGAGTTTTCCAGACTCCGTACTACTTTTTAAACCCAGTAATACTTGGTCCGACCCAGGAATCGAACCCGAGACCCCATGCTTGGCAGTCGCACTTGCGACCACTCGGCCAACGAGAATATTTTATACAGACAGGGTATGGACTGACTTAGTTGATAGGACTTTTTATCCCGATTAAATGCTACCATGGGATAATACAGGAACCATATTCTACGCGGACGCAGTCGCGGGCAACAGCCAGTAGACTATTAAACATCACACTGAATAGGAGCCGAGCAGAGTAGGGAGTAGTCATACTCTCGGTAAGTAGCAATAAACGTGAAATATTTGTCTAAAATGGCGCTAAAGCATTAGTAATCACATATTATACATCAATAAAGACAATAGTAGGTAACAATTTATTAAAGCACAATTTACGGAATGCACAAAAAGCTATCCCCTACCAAAAATACTGCATAACATTTTCAATTCTATTACGAAACTGAAAAGGTTGAAAAGGAATTAAACACGAGTATACGTTACGATGCTGTCGTCCGCATATTTTGAAATCTGATGCAATGTAATGCGTTGTGACTTTGCGACAAGGACGCGTGGTCTTAGTCACAAGCGGGAGCGATTTCATTTTTTTTTTGATAAACAACTGGACGCTTCGCCTAATGGTAAGCAATTGGCGTCGTCCATGGACACCTGGAACACCAGAGGCGTTACAAGTGCGTGACCGGCCTTTTGGGGATTCAGGGATTGGGGAAGAGAGGTAATCTCACCTCCGGTAACCGCACTCACACGACAAAACACACGCCCATTATACACTATTATTGTTGATATAGTCGTATAATGTGATTGTGTAATGTACAATAATGTATTTAAGTGTGGGAGAGCCATGCTTCGGCACGATTTGGCCGGCTCGACCGGAGTGATACCACGGCCGAGCAGAATACCGACGTGCAGCAACGCTTGCGTTGTGTTTCGTCGTGTGAGTGAGGTTACCGGAGGCCCAATTACCCTCCCCTTCTCCAATCTCCCCAATCCCTGAATCTCCAACGATCCTCAAACTCCTAATCCCCAAAAGGCCGGTAACGCACTTGTAACGCCTCTGGTGTTCCAGGTGTCCATAGGCGATGCCGATTGCTTACCATCAGGTGATCCGTCTGCTCGTTTACCGGTTTATGCCATAAAAATAAGTATTAATAAATCAATAATATGATTTTGCTGCCACTGCCTCGTTGGCTGAGTGGTCGAAAGTGCGATAGTCGCTGCTTTTAAAACAAATTCAGTAGTAGCACGGAGAATGGAATTGCTCCCGGTATATGGCAGGCTCACCCCCAATTACATGGGACTCATAATATAAATAGTGAAAAGTGGGTGTTACATTGTACAATAGCATTAAGTGCCGTAATATACCTACACCTCTGCCTTCCCCTTCGGGGATAAAAGGCGTAATGTTATGTTATGTGATATATATTGTATTAATATATAACTGACACACTATTCGTTTTAAACTGTTGATTATAAATTATAATAGTTAATTCGATTCGTAACTTGTGAATTGGACCAAAATTGGGACACTTATGACTACTTACTTAAATCTAGGCTTAGTATAAGCATAGACATGATATTTTTATGAAAGCAATTAGTTTTGTTACTTCATATGCAATGCGAGAGTAGGTTTTATATTTCGAATAATTTTAAGTACTTATGTGATAAAATGCCTGGTCTCCTGACCTACACTATGGCAACTAGGTTGAATTTTATTATAGGACAGGGAGTAGGGTTTCGTTACGTCATTCCTTCTACATGAAATGATGCTGTCGGGGCCATGATGCGGAGCGAAGAGGTCTGGGATGCCGTCTGCTCCTTTTGCGAAGCAGTCATGCTAGCTAAGGAGGAGGTGGGGCGCGTGAGGCAGCGAAGCGCTGCTGCCTCACAGCCCAGCCGTCGCGAAGGACACTCCGGACGGCTGGGATCGCGGAACGATCTACGGCCACCGTACGCACGGGACTGAGGACGGCGAGCATGGGTGTCTTGCCGCCTAACCAGAACCAGACCCGAACGTACAACGCGTCGCGTTTCGCGCGCGCCTCAAAGAGCCATCAGACCACCACGTATGGGGCACAATAGGGCTGATGCCGATACGGAGCCACGTAGAACTTAACGGGTAGCTGGGGCGCCGGCTCGAAGGGCAGAAGTAGGAACGGGGTGGTTTTTAGTCGGTAAGAGTCTGACACTCCCTCCCGCCTCACTCAGGCGGGAGAAGTCATTCGATGATTTTCCCCCGTAGAAAAAAGATGCAATATCTAATACCTTTAAACGAGCAATTCTATCAAAATCCGTTCAGTAGTTTCAGCGTGATTGACGGACCAACATCCAAAGAAAGTTTCACATTTATAATATTTATGTGATACTAGTTAACTAGTCACTCCCGCGCGGTTCCTATTGTATCTAGCGTAATGGTTTATAGCCTATAACCTTCCTAGATAAATGCACTATCCAATACAAAAAGAATTATTCAAATCGGTGCAGCTGTTCTGGAGATTAGCGCGTTTAGACCAACAAAAACTCTTCAGTTTTGTATATTAACTAGGGACTCGCCCTGGCTTCGCACGAGTGCAATATGTATGCATTACACATATAAACATTTCTTAAGAATCACTCTATCTATTAAAGAAAACTGCGTCAAAATCCATTGCGTAGTTTTAAAGATCTAAACATTTTTTTTTTAAGGGGGGAAAATCACGAATGACTACTCCCGCCTGGGTGAAAGGCGGCAGAGTGTCAGACTCTTACTGACTAAAAACCACACCGTTCCTTCTCCTGCACGTCGAGCCGGAGCCCCGGTTACCCGTTAGGTTCTCCGCGACTCCGAATCGGCAAAGATCTAAGAATACATAGGTACAGACAGACGGCGGGTAGCGACTTCGTTTATTCTATATAGTAAAGTTACACAGATTTAAACAGTTCAGTGATTGGCAATGTATATTATTTGTGCCCAACCCTATTCTTTTCGTTGTCGTTAAAATAACCGAATAAATAAACCTGGAGACCGATCAGGGGGCTTACTCTTGAATCCAATTCCGATCGATCGACATTGGTATTGTGAAATTTCGTACTCTTGAGTTGCAACACTAGCGCCCATTGCATCCGTATTGCGTGGATATTGAATGAACTAAATGATATTGAGTTTGATTTGATATGCCGTACTCTGAATGCCATTTTAACAGCTACGATTGTGGTTGTATAGTTTTGACATTGAATAATTATTGAGATTTTATTGGATTGTAAATTGTATTGGCATTGTGATTGGTTTCAAGAGTAAGCACCCAGCAGCGACCTTTGATAAATCTGAACTACGATCTCTAATCATTATACTATACATACCTACATACATAACCTCACGCTCGTTGGACGAGTGTTCGCTAGTGAGAATGCCGGGCAAGGGGTCTCGGGTTTGATTCCCGGGTCGGACAATGTATTAAGTACTGGTTCTTTGTTAATCTCAGTTATAGCACGAAGTCTGGAAACGTGCTCGGTATATGGCAATAAGCTCACCGCCTATTACATGGGACTCATAACATAAATAGTGAAAAGTGGGCGTTACATTGTATTGTGACATTAAGTGCAGTAAAGTGCACTTCTACCTACCTCTTCGGGGATTAAAGGCGTGATGTTAACATAACCTGAAGCCTGTGTCCCATGGGGATAGGCAGAAACTATGGAACGCGATTCTTATATACCTCTTTCGCTTCATCAACAGTCATCAGTCGTTTCATAGACAAGAACCAAGAAATAAGAACTAATAAAAATAACGTATTGACTGATAGAATCGCAATATTTTAATGTTTACATACACAACTGTGGCAACACGTGTAAGTATCTAATATATTATTATCCTTACTAATATTATAAATGGGAAAGTGAGTTTGTTTGTTTGTTCCACTTTCACGCCGTAACTACTAAACCGATTGCTTTGAAATGTTGCAGACGTAAAGTTAGAAGTCTGGATTAAATAATAGGGTACTTTTTATCCCGGAAAAAATGTATATTATCGAGGGAAAACGAAATTATTGGTATAGATGGCGCTGTGTGTATTGGTATATGTCACATAGGCTACTTTTTATCCTTTTGTGACGCGAGCGAAGCCGCGGGTAAAAGCTAGTATATATATATATATATATGTGTGTACTCTAATACAACAGAAATTAGGCTACTCAAGAATGCATGAGCCAAAAAACATGCAACTCAACGATTTTATAGATCTAATTACACTTCCTACTGAATGTACTGTGTATATGAAATTTGAGAACATAAGCGCCACAATTATCACTATATAGTATAAAAAAAAGTCACTATCCGCCGTCTGTCTGTCCATATGAACGCTTAGATCTTCAAAACTACGCAACGGATTTTGATGCGGTTTTTTTTAATAGATATTGATTCTTAAGGAAGGTTTATATGTATAATACATGCATATTGCGCCCGTGCGAAGCCGGGGCCGGTCGCTAGTATTATATATACAGGTGAATGATATGAAAGCGGTTTTTTTAAGGGGGGGAAATCGTCGAATAAATTGTCCCGCCTACGGAAGGGAGTCTCAGACTCTTACTGACTAAAAACCACTCCGTTCCTTCTCCTGCACATCGAGTCGGAGCAGTCGGAGCCCCGGTAACCCGTTAAGTCCTCAGCGGTATATGAAAACGGTAGACA